TATACAATTGTCATAATTATACCGTCCATTTCTAGAGACTTGTCCGAACACCTTCCGTTTCTGGACACTTGTACAAACACAATATTTTCTTAGAATCTCAGACGCTCCTCCGAACACAGCAAACACATAGACTTTTACCTGAACACAGGTCATTCCTGAAAACTTACCCGAACACGGTTTTTTGCTAGAACCATGTCCGAACACCATCGCTTTTGCTTTTTCTTCACAGTACAGAACTTCTCCATCTGGTCCTGGTCTGAGGGTTCACAACCCAAGGGTCGCTACTCGAATTCGGGTCACGGATGATCCCTGTCCCCAACACGAAAATCTGGGAACTTTCAATACTCGCGAGAAGAAATGGAAAGAAGGAGAACCAGGAGAGGTAAAACAAACAGTGAAATCTGTCACTTCGCCCAGTTTAAACGTCATTATAAATAGCGGTATTTGAGCTAAGAGAAAGGAAGCTCAGATTCCCTGGGTCAAAAGGCCATCATCGGTATAAAGGCGCACTGAAAGGCTTACTTAAGTTTTACAATGATGTATTTTATATAAACGTTGGCAGTCCTCGTTGTTGAGCGGGATTGTTTTTATCTAAGCGTTTTCTCTAAAGGATTTTTGTGGTTCACATTTGTAACCAACGAAGTTAATTAATTCTTTTAAAGGCAGTGTGTTGGAGTGCTAAGTAGGTACTGACACAGTTTGTTGGAGTGCTAAGTAGGCACTGACACAGTTTGCTGGAGTGCTGTGTAGGTACTGATACAGTTTGCTGGATTGCTAAATAGGTACTGACACATTTAGCTGGAGTGCTGTGTAGGTACTGATACAGTTTGCTGGAGTGCTAAGTAGGTACTGACACATCTGGCTGCAGTGTTGTGTAGGTACTGATACAGTTTGCTGGAGTGCTAAGTAGGTACTGACACATCTGGCTGCAGTGCTGTGTAGGTACTGATACAGTTTTCTGGAGTGCTAAGTAGGTACTGATACAATATGAGTCGCGAGGCAAATGTGATTTTAAATTTTGTCACCAGTCGAATATGATTTTCAATTTTAGGTCGCGGGTTAAAAAAAATTGCTACTGAAAAATGTCCTTGTAACTGCTGTCACAGCACAGCAGTTACAAGGACATTTTTATTAACAGCACAGTTTATTAACAGCACAGCTTATTAACAGCACAGCTTATTAACAGCACAGCTTATTAACAACACAGCTTATTAAGAGAAATTTTTATTTCTTGTGCACCGCTCTTCGGAAACAGTGAAACGAGATGTGTAAAATTCGCCTGTCTTCAATTTATCAAGATATCCTCTACAAGTCCGTCAGTCTGTATCCAAAATATAAGTCATCAACCCAGGTGTCAGCACTGAACACACAGATATGAAGGTCACAAAAACTAAGTCACACACAAGTTTAAAGGTGTGAAACCCAATAGGTCGTGACCGAAGTCCACGAATTCCCACAGGACAAGTGTCTAGACACCATCTGGACTCAGAGAGACTAAGTTCATGAATGACCAAGCTGTTAGAAGTTAGTCCAACCAAAGACATAAAGATACAACCTATATTCTAAGAGGCTATGTCTAACACTAAAAATAGTTTACGGAATCCAATTTAAACAATGGCTTTGACAGACTGAGTTCACACAAGACAGCCTGCAGACCACCACGGCTCTCACTGTAAGAAAAAAGATTGTGTGTGGCTGTATTTTTTAGTGGATATGCTAATCTCCTGTACCCTGTGAGGGCCGACTGTATAAGATACCATAACATGATGGTATTGACCATATAAATAATGGAGCACAGATGTAAGACTATAAGACAGGTGAAAGTACCATCATAACACAACTTATACAGGAAGGATACAGAAAAGCACTGGTTTGGTAATAGAGTTGTGGATGAGTGGAACAAACTCCCGAGTACCGTCATTGAAGCTAAAACCTTAGATAAATACATGAGCGGGTGTGGGTGGGTGTAAGTTGGACCTGACTAGCTTGGGCTACCAGGTCTGATGCCGTGCTAGTTCGTTAAGTGGATGTGACCTGACCTGACTAGGTGGGTCATTGGTCTAAGCCGGGGGGTGACATGGACCTGCCTCGCATGGATCAGTAGGCCTGCTGCAGTGTTCCTTCTTTCTTATGTTCCTATACTCCAAAAATCATAGCGAATGTAAACATTTGCAAAGTATGTAATGGGGATCAATGTCCACTAGGACCTGACGTCTGTAGTAACAAAAATATAAACAGCAAACTAAATAATGCTTGTTCTCAGACTTAACAAGACAGACAGTGACGGACACGACAAGACGGACAAGACACAGTCATTCAGTGACAGATTGAACAAGACACAGTCGTTCAATGACAGACTGAACAAGACACAGTCATTCAATGACAGACTGAACAAGACACAGTCATTCAATGACAGACTGAACAAGACACAGTCATTCAATGACAGATTGAACAAGACACAGTCATTCAATGACAGATTGAACAAGACACAGTCATTCAATGACAGACTGAACAAGACACAGTCATTCAATGACAGATTGAACAAGACAAACTAAGAAAGATCCATCAATAAAGACCATTTAGAAATTATTTAAAAAAAATTCAAATGAAAATATTAAAAGAAATAACATATTATTTTACCAGTTCCATTTTTTAGTTATATTTTAAATAAATTA